GAAATGTGGCTAACGAATGATGGTATAGTGATAGCAGAAGCTAGAGCACTACCAATTGATTGCATGTAAGATGTGAAAGTAAAGAGAAATTAAGGATGATTCCTAAGTTTTTGGCTTGAATAACTGAAGGAGTGATGGTATCATTTACTGAGTTTGGAGACAATGGAGGAAAACAAGAGCGTTCTGTATTCAGACCAAAGATGCTTATGCCTGAACAGATAATATTACAACTATCTTTCAATCACTTAGAAACAGCATTCCATTTCCATTCTCTAAATTACTTAAAACTGGTTTCTGTTCTATTTAATTCCTTCCCAAATATGATACATTACTGAAGTAAAAGTGACAGAAATTCTAGAAGCCAAAATACTCTGTAATGAATGGCCCGTAAACCTTGATGATGAGTCACTGTTCTTAATTAAATGGTGGTAAGGCAAAGATGAACAGCAGCAGAACACAATCCGGACACTGTAGGCAGTTCTCACTTTTGTTTTGGAGAGAAATATTACCAAACATCAGAGAGAATTTATAAAATAAACATGAAATAAGATAAGCATTGGGGGTTTATGAGAAACGGTAAAGTACTTCTGTTAATTTTAAGTGACGATTTACTGATAACTAAAGTGCTCAGGTTTGATGAAATTAGATTTCTGTTCTCTTTTTCAGACTCCCACTGGTTTAGCTACTCAAGAAAGAGAGGGAGTGCTTGATGCAAGTCTGGCTCCCCAGATGTACACATTTAGCTTTCATTTAGTTTGTAGGTCACAGACTGATTTGATAATCCTGTACAAAAATTTGGTTTCACAATTCTATTTTTTTTTTTTTTTTGAGACGGAGTCTCGCTCTGTCACCCAGGTTGGAGTGCAGTGGTGTGATCTCGGCTCACTGTAACCTCCGCCTCCCAGGTTCAAGCGATTCTCCTGCCTCAGCCTTCTGAGAGGCTGGGACCACAGGCACGTGCCACCACGCCTGGCTACTTTTTGTATTTTTTAGGAGAGGTGGAGTTTCACCACATTGGCCAGGCTAGTCTCGAACTACTGACCTTGTAATCTGCCCACCTTGGCCTCCCAAAGTGCTGGAATTACAGGCATGAGCCACTGCTCCCAGCCTCTATTTTTTATCTTAAAATTTTTTTTTTGTTTTAGACTAGCCATGGTTTCACAATTCTTGATAATATTCATTTGATATGAAGCATACTTGGCACTTCCCAGGATTTGGCAAATCCATTATGAAATGCTGCAAACAGTGTATTATGTTGACAAATGGAGGTGGTGCAGGGCAATTAGAAACAGAGTGAGTTAACTCATTAGTAACCAAACTGGGACCCAATCCTGGGTGCAGTATGTGTTTACAGTGAGTTTCTCTGGGCCTCAGCTTCTTCAACTTTAGAACAAAGGGTCTCAATTCACAGATGATCATGAAGTTCTATTTCAGCTCTATTTGATTCTAGTAAGTTATAAGAAAACTTTGAGTTTTGTTTCTATTTTTGATAAGGATGGATTGCAAATAAGCCACCCACAAACAATTTTACAGAAAAGTTTGCAACAATATTTTTAGTGGGTTACTGCAGAGTGGTTCCTTCTATCACTGTATCATGTAAAACTAGCCATGGGGGCTTAAACCTGTGAACTTAACTTCACCCAATTGCGCAAACAAAGCTTACTGGGGTATAACTAGTTCATGAAATAATCATAAGGAAGTGTAATATGTATATTGTCCACCAACTTCCTCCCACTACAGAAATAGAGAAATGAGGGTTTTTTTGAGGAGGCATTTGCCACATTGACTATAACTATTGACTTTTTTCAATACTCTGTTTAATTTCCCCTTTTTACCCCACTGTAGTTGGTGTCATGCAAGAATCTGTTTACATTGACTACGGATATTGGAAGAGTGAAGATCAGAGAATTTTCAGTCTGAAATTTGGATCACTGCCCTTAACAATATAACCTTAGTTGGTGTAAACTACTCATACAGGTAAGAGTGATTATTTATTCATTTTTAGCTGAAAAATTAATGCTATAAAAATGAACAGAACCTAATGGTTTAAATTTTGAAAGCTGATCATTAAGAAAGGCAGTCAGCATATTAATTATGTAGATAGTTGTTAGTAGCTGTAGTTAATGAGTTGTAGAACTTTTTCATTTGTCAAATTAGCAGAGATAAAATGTATGCAAGAGTGACTTGAGACAGACATTCTCCTGAGGGGAATATAGACACAGAGACATTTTCTGGAGACTAGTTCTGCATCTGTAACATGTAATTTTTATTTGATTTCTTAACAGTATTTTCAAAATTTTAGAAAATAATTATCTAGTAGTTTTATAGTCAAAGTTTGTTTTTGAAGGAGTACTTGTACACAGTAGATACAAGCTTGGGAAGGTAAAGATGGTGACCTAATTGTTGATTACTATACTGAGAGTCCTATAAAGACTCAACTTCTGTCTGGTAAAGCCAGCCTCTGCAGAAGTCTTTTCATCTCCCTTTTGTTTGAAAGCATTTAATATTTATACAGAAGCACCATCACCTTTGCAGTTTTTTTTTTTTTTTTTTTTTTGAGACGGAGTTTTGCTCTTGTTACCCAGGCTGGAGTGCAATGGCGCGACCTTGGCTCACCGCAACCTCCGCCTTCTGGGTTCAAGCAATTCTCCTGCCTCAGCCTCCTGAGTAGCTGGGATTACAGGCACGCGCCACCATGCCCAGCTAATGTTTTATATTTTTAGTAGAGACGGGGTTTCACCATGTTGACCAGGATGGTCTCGATCTCTTGACCTTGTGATCCACCTGCCTTGGCCTCCCAAAATGCTGGGATTACAGGCTTGAGCCACCGCGCCCGGCCCCTACCTTTGCAGTTTTTAGTATACTATGCAATATCTACAAAAGGCAGGAGTTAATGCTTTTAACAACATCATAAAAGGAAGCTCAATTCCTTATGTAAAAAATCTACTGCGAGCAGATAATTTTTTCTTAAATAAACTGGCTCATTTCACTCTCTGACTAATTTTTGAACTGGTAAAGTTATAGATTAGGTTTTATATATTTATACCACGGTCTACACTAATTGCAACCAGATTACAATTCACCAGGTTGCACTAGCTTCAGATACAAACTTACAATGAAGCATATGAACTGTTTTCTAAATAAAAATAGCAAAGAAAATTATAAAGACACTGGTAGACATTAATTAAGGACCTTGGTATTTGAACCCACAGACACTGCACAGTCCTCAAGTTTTCAAGATTTTGGGTATGGATTGGTTTAAAAAGCTATTACAAAATTATAATATTACATTTCCGATAAAAAACAATTTCTGTAAGCCAAGATGCAGAAAATAAATCAAACCATAATTCTGAAGAGGGGTGGAGAGTAAAATCGCCCTGAGGGGCTGGGGGATATAAGAATTTCAAAAGGCTGTGTATAGTACAATTTTTATGTTTATCAAAAGAGAACATAATTAAAAAAAAGATTAAGAAACCTTGCTCTAGATCATGAAAGAGTGGAGAATGTGGTGCCCAGAGGCTAAGTGAAGAACACAGAGAATGTGGCACATTCTGAATAGAGACCATGGTTCTTATTTGACCAGAATCCAGTAACTTTTGTTATTCTCGCTTGAAGGAAGTGAGGAAATAAGGAGAAAAATAAGAATAAGAAGCAATTTGTATAAGATTCTTCAGCACTTCATGTGTACCCTTTGAAGCGAGAAAGATTCAAATATGACACAAAAAAGTAAAAACCAGCATGTATGCTTTGATTAAAACATCATATCCTTTAAAAAAAATCCTCTGAAAAACTCAGATACCAAATTACACATGAGGACACTCTAACCAACAAGCATAGCAGCTACAGTTTTTTTGTTTTTGAGACAGGGTCTCTTTCTGTTACCCAGGCTGGAGTGTAGTGGAATGATCATAGCTTGCTGCAGGCTTGAACTCCTAGGCTCAATTGATCCTCCTGCCTCAGCCTCCCAGGTAGCTGGGACTTCAGGCACATGCCAGGATGCCTGGCTATTTTTTTGTGTTTTTTGTAGAGATGTGGTTTTGCCATGTTGCCCAGGCTGACCTTGGCCTCCCAAAGTGCTGGAATAACAGGGATGAGCTACCACACCTGGTCTAGTTTTTGCATTTTGTATAGAGAGAGGGTCTTGCTATGTTGCCCAGGGTGTTCTTAAAATCCTGGTCTCAAGCAACCCTCCCACCTTGGCCTCCTAAAGTGCTGAGATTACAGGTGCAGAGCCACATCTGGCTGCAACTACAGTTTTGACATACATGTGTAAAGTAAACTTTTATTGAAGTATGACAGTTTAACATTAAATATTTGAAATGAGATTTTAAATACTCTTTGGTAATGATCCTGGGATTTTAGAGTCTGTCCTTGGTTGCTATACTTTTCTTCTGTTCAATTCAGGATCTTGCCTGAATTTTTGTTCAAGTGGATTGAGAGACTCTTAAAACATTATAGAGGAGTGTTTTAATCTAGCCACAAAATGACACCATTTTGAAAACTATATATAAGTGATGTGCTAATTAAAAACCAGTCAACTGTCTATTATTATGGCCACAAAATACTTCTGTAATACTTTGGCCAACATATATTGATTGCATGTGCCTTAAAATTTTTTAAATTATATTTCTAGGGAAAATCAGTCATTATTACACTACTTAAATTTTTTTACAATCTAAGAACTATTCATTTCTCTAAATAAAACCATAAATCCCAGGCATGTAATTATTTACATCAAATTTTGTTTTTTAGACAAAGGCATTATCCATCATATTAAGTAACTTTTTGTATTTATTTCAAGTGGACAATCGTGATTAGAAAAGGTAAGAAGCCATCTATACTTCCCCATTCCACCTAGTACATTTTTGCTACTATTTTATTTCATTCAACGCTTTAAAAAAACTATTAAGCTTAAATACTGTACCATAAATAATTTTAATACTAAATATCTACAATTCTGTTCTAGCTCCTGTGTCAAAATTCAAGAAAATCTGACATAAATGAACAACAACACAACATGTATTCAACCATCTATGATCTCTTCCATGGCTTTACCAATCATTTATACCCTCCTTTTTATTGTTGGTCTTTTTGGAAACTCTCTCTCTCAATGGATATTTTTAACAAAAATAGGTAAAAAAGCCTCAACGCACATCTACCTGGCACACCTTGTGACTGCAAACTTACTTGTGTGCAGTGCCATGCCTTTCATGGGTGTCTATTTCCTGAAAGGTTTCCAATGGGAGTATCAATCTGCTCAATGCAGAGTGGTCAATTTTCTGGGAACTCTATCGATGCATGTGAGTATGTTTGTCAGTCTCTTAATTTTAAGTTGGATTGCCATAAGCCGCTATGCTACCTTAATGCAAAAGGATTCCTTGCAAGATACTACTTCGTGCTATGAGAAAATATTTTATGGCCATTTACTGAAAAAATTTCGCCAGCCCAACTTTGCTAGAAAACTATGCATTTATATATGGGGAGTTGTACTGGGTATAATTATTCCAGTTATCATATACTACTCAGTCGTAGAGGCTACAGAAGGAGAAGAGAGCCTATGCTACAATCGGCAAATGGAACTAGGAGCCATGATCTCTCAGATTGCAGGTCTCATTGGAACCACATTTATTGGACTTTCCTTTTTAGTAGTACTAACATCATACTACTCTTTCGTAAGCCATCTGAGAAAAATAAGGACCTGTACATCCATTATGGAGAAAGATTTGACTTACAGTTCTGTGAAAAGACATCTTTTGGTCATCCAGATTGTACTAATAGTTTGCTTCCTTCCTTATAGTATTTTTAAACCCATTTTTTACATTCTACAGCAAAATGGTAACTGTCAGCAACTGAATTATTTAATAGAAACAAAAAACATCCTCACCTGTCTTGCTTCAGCCAGAAGTAGCACAGACCCCATTATATTTCTTTTATTAGATAAAACATTCAAGAAGACACTGTATAATCTCTTTACAAAGTCTAATTCAGCACATATGCAATCATAGCCTTGACTTTTGAATGGAAAACCCACAATATAGAAAAGCATTCCTGTGACTTTATTAGGGATGCTAAACTACATCATTAACATGTCACAGCTTAGATGACAATAGTCAACAAGAAAATCTCTTTGGTTTTTAAAAATAAATAAATATATATTCATAAAACTCAAAAAAAAAAGTTCTACTTATACTGAAAGTTGAGATGGCAGAAACTTTCAGAGGCAAAAATTAAGCATATTGAAAGGCTCCCACTCATGAAACTAACAGACTACTGTTTAAACTCAACTGTGGGTGCTTCTGTTCAGAACACATTATTTCATGACTAGGATAAAGAAGCAAATGTTTTATGACTTGTCTGCTTTCTGGTAGTTAGAATATAAAAGTCAATCTATGGCCAGTGTTTATTGGCAATTTAAAAAATCTTTAAAAATAAGTAGCTGGGTGTAGTGGCTCATGCCTGTAATCCCAGCACTTTGGGAGGCCAAGGTGGGCAGATCATTTGAGGTCGGGAGTTCAAGACCAGCCTGGCCAACATGGTGAAACCCTGTCTCTACTAAAAATACAAAAACTAGCCGGACATGGTGGTGGGCACCTGTAATCCCAGCTACGCAGAAGGCTGAGGCAGGAGAAACACTTGAGCACTGGACGGAGGTTGCAGTGAGCAGGGATCATGCCACTGCACTCCAGCCTGGGAGGCAGAGTGAGACTCTGTCTCAAACAAAACAAAACAAAAAAATAAGTTAAAAAAAAAAAAGAAGAAATAGCTTCACTCAAGTCTTATCTAAATGCATGAATATATAATACAGTGAAAAATTCCAAGGTTTTATAAACACATTATTTATTTGGAATTATCTGGCTCATGTTATTGGGGAGAAGCAATATTCATTGACTCTGTATTTTTAAAAGCAGATATTACTTATAAAAATGCTTAAATATTTGAATTAGGCCGTTAAAGTAAAAAGCTATGTCATTATATGCCCATCTTCATCACATTGTGCATATTTTCTTCTGTATTTAATATAAATAATGTTATTAGTGACAAATAGTACCTGGCAGTTAATTTTTTTGTGAAATAAATGAATGAATAATAAGTGATTGTAATAGTATCTCAGTTAAGAGATTGGTCTCTGAAGTTATACTTTCTGGATTCAATCTTGGTTCTACTTTTTATTTAGCTGAACAATCTTAGGCAAATTATTTATCCTCTTTATGTGTTAATTTCTTCATTTGTAAAGCAGAAAATACTATCTTATTCATAGGTCCTGTTACTACTGTGAGTAGATATTGCTTAGCACTTGCTGTTTGCTAAGCATTCTGCTTATATGCTTTACATGTATTATTTTAATCACTACAACTCTAAGGTATACTAATTTACTGATGAAAATATTGAAGTGGGTCGGGCGTGGTGGCTCACACCTGTAATCCCAGTGCTCTGGGAGGTCGAGGTGGGCAGATCATCTGAGGTCAGGAGTTCAAGACCAGCCTGGCCAACATGGCGAAACCCCTCCTCCACTAAAAATACAAAAATTAGGCGGGCGTGGTGGTGTGTGCCAACGATTCAGGAGGCTGAGGCAGGAGAATCGCTTGAACTCAGGAGGTGGAGGTTGCAGTGAGCCAATATCACGCCATTGCACTCCAGCCTGGATGGCAGAGCAAGACCCTGCCTCCAAAAAAAAAAAAAAAAAAGAAAGAAAAAAGAAAAAAAAGAAAATAATGAAGTGCATAGTTAAGTAAATCACACTCTGATTTTTTCCAATATCTAAATAAATCTTTAAAGATAAGCATTTCTTAATGGTCATTTCTTTCTTCTATGTGATCTTGTACGTAGACAAATGATGGTGACTATATTCTGTATTAAGAACATATATCATGATTTAAAAAATCATGTTCTATCTGCCCAAAGAGATCATAATCATTTTTGGAGCTATAAACTTCTTGTCTATTTCTACTTCCATGGTACCTGTATTTCCTTCTCATATAACCAAACAAAAACAGCTGACTAAAACCAACCGTTAATAGTAACTTGCCACTTTGTTAGAGACTAATTTTTTCTCCACATAGTAATTCCTTCAGTGTCCAATAAGAAGTTTAAAGTAAATTCATGTAATCCTTCTAAGCCTTTAATCTCATAGTGTGTTTTGTTCCTGAGTTAGAGCTGTAAAAGCAATTCACAGTACATTGCCTAAGAGCCATGTGTTCAAAAATCACTAGAGGTTATTCTGAAAACAAAACAAAACAAAAAAAATCCAGTAATTTTTTTTCCCTTTTCTACTTCAATGCTTAACTGAGAGATGAAAATGTTCAGAGAAAAGTCTGAACACATCCTTGCTTCAAATATTTACAGTGTATATCAATTTGTTTATATTAGCAATTAGATTTTTGGCTCATTAATGTACAGAGACAAAGGAGACTTGGGAACTTGAGGTGACCTTCCTGAACGCTAGCTGTAAATAGAAGTGTCCAATCTAGTGACTTCCTAGACATGCAAATCACAGAGTAACTCAAAGTCCATCAGGAAGAGTTCCTGAGATGCACAGATTTCTCCACAGTTACAAAAGTAGTTTTATTCTTTTTAGTTTTTGTGATGGGGTCTTACTCTGTCACCCAAGCTAAAGTGCAGTGGCGAGATCTGGCTTACTGCAACCTCCTCCTCTCCCTCCGGGGTCGAGTAATTCTCCCACCTCAGCCTCCTGAATAGCTGGGACCACAGACACCCACCACCATGTCCCACTAATTTTTGTCATTTTTTGGTAGAGACAGGGTTTTGCCATATTACCCAGGCTGGTCTCGAACTGCTGAGCTCAAGCAGTCTGCCCATCTTGGCCTCCTAAAGTGTTGAGATTACAGGCATAAGGCATTGTGGCCAGTCTATGTAGTTTTATTCTTACGTGAATTTTGAGACCAAAACTCATCAGACTAAGACAGTAATGCTTGTTTAACATAAGCTATACTGCATTTAATAATCTCACTGGACTTAGAAGTTTTAAAAAATATAACTTCTGGCCAGGTACAGTGGTTCAGGCTTGTAATCCCAGCACTTTGGGGGGCTGAAGTGGGAAGATCACTTGAGCCGAGGTATTTGAGACCAGTCTGATCAACATAGTGAGACCATGTCTCTACAAAAAAACAGAAAAATTAGCCGGACATGGTGGCACATGCCTCTAGGCCTAGTTACTTGGGAGGCTGCGGGAGGATCTCTTGAGCTCAGGAGGTTGAGGCCGAAGTGAGCCATGATTGTGCCACCGCATTCCTACCTGGGTGACAAAGCAAGACCCTGTTTCAAAACAAACAAACAAACAAAAAACCCCAAATATATAGCCTCTAAAAATAATTATTTAAAAATCACTTAACAGCTCTACCAGAACTTTAAACAAAAAATATTTCTAGGGTTTCTTATGTTTAAAAAGGCAGGAAAAGAGACACACAATTTCTCTTTAAGTTACTCATTCTGATAAACTCACACTGTAATTTCATATACTGAAGAATGAACTACATACTCAGCTCGTTATCATCATGGATATCTTTACACCATAGATGCTTTCCTAAACAGTTGATTTTAAATCGTGCTGATTTTTTTGTGTAATTGAAGAACTGGCTATTTAATAGCATAGTAAATATTTTATTTAAAATACCACTTTTGTTTTTGGAGACAGAGTCTGTCTCTGCTGCCCAGGCTGGAGTAGTGGTGATCATAGCTCATTGCAGGCTCAAACTCTTGGGCTCAGGTGATCTCACCACCTCAGCCTCCTGAGTAGCTAGGATTACAGGTATATGCCACCATGCCTGGCTAATTTTTGTATTTTTTTTTGTACAGATGTGCTCTTGCTATGTTGCCCAGGCTGGTCTTGAACTCCTGGGCTCAAGTGATCCTCCTGCTTCAGCCTCCCAAAGTGCTGAGATTATAGGTGCAAGCCACTGTGCTTGGCCTTAAAATCACCTTCAAAACTTACCCTATTTTAAAGTCTGGATTTCAAAAAGAACAGTGTTTTCACTGTGTCTGTGTGAGTTAAAGTCAAACACAAATTTGGGGTTTCAGAAATCTCAAATTTTGACTCAAAGGCTAAAAAGATTGTATCTTATACTTTAGAAAACAGGCATATACACACTCTCATTAAGGCAGCTTTCAAACTATAATCAGGAACACAAACCATTAAGACTAGACAAACAAAATTTAGGATAAACAACTTAACAGGGATCACGAGGTCAGGAGTTTGAGATCAGCCTGGCCAACATGGTAAAACCCCATCTCTACTAAAAAAAAAATGCAAAAAATTAGCCAGGCATGGTGGCAGGCACCTGTAATCCCAGCTACTCGGGAGGCTGAGGCAGGAGCATCACCTGAACCTGGGAGGTGGAGGTTGCAATGAGCTAAGACCATGCCACTGGACTCCAGCCTGGGCAACAGAGCGAGACTCCATCTCAAAAAAAAAAAAAAAAAAAAAAAAAAAAAGATAGGGTTTTACTATGTTGCTAAGGCTGGGAAACTTAAAACCAAGAAGTTAATTTCTTTTTTTTTTTTTTTTTTTGAGACGGAGTTTCGCTCTTGTTACCCAGGCTGGAGTGCAATGGCGCGATCTCGGCTCACCGCAACCTCTGCCTCCTGGGTTCAGGCAATTCTCCTGCCTCAGCCTCCTGAGTAGCTGGTATTATAGGCACGTGCCACCATGCCCAGCTAATTTTTTGTATTTTTAGTAGAGACGGGGTTTCACCATGTTGACCAGGTTGGTCTCGATCTCTCGACCTTGTGATCCACCCGCCTCGGCCTCCCAAAGTGCTGGGATTACAGGCTTGAGCCACCGTGCCCGGCAAAGTTAATTTCTTTTTTTTGGAGGAGTAGGCTGGGCACAGAGAAGTATGGTAGTTAGAAACAAAAAATAAATTTATAATGATCATGTAATCCATGAGATCTTCCTAAGTACAATTATTAAAATGCCACATTCAATCTGAATGTGCACATTATATTGAAAAATCTTACAAAAGAAATGCAGAAGATTAACTAGTGTTAA